AATAAGAAAACGAAAGCGTTATATGAATTTGTTTGAAAGTAAACACATACTACAATTGTAAGTAAACATAGAAACGTGATATAAATAAACAAGTAAACAAGAAGTCCTTTGCTAGTGAAACTTATTTGGCCATGTTTTATACATCAAATGAAAACCAACAATACTCTTGGTGTCGGTAAGAATAATATAAGATCAATAATGTACAATAATTCCTGTAATGGCTATTTAAGCAAGTGTTCTTCATTATGTAGATAGTTAATTACGGAATAGATTGAAACGGTAAAATAAAAATCATTTTAATTTAATTCACCTCATCATGTTTTGTGATTTTGTCAAAAAGAAAATTAAAAAATGATAACATTTTATGCTTTTTATTAGTCATTGTTGCTTTGTGTTGCTGTTGTGGAGGAAGTTGGCCTGCTCTTTTCCTGGGATGTTTTTTCTTCTTGTTGTTGTGTGTAGTTATCAGATTCACGATACTGTAAAAAAAAAACGTGATAACGATTAAAGTAGCTAAATTTGATTAGCAAAGTTTTTTTTGGGAGTCAAGGGTTAGCTAAGTTAATCAATATACACGATTAATGAATTTTAATTGGATTTAACGATGTATCAATTATACTCTGCCAATTAATTCAATTTATATGGTCGATAAAATATAATTTTAAGAGAAAATCGATTTTGATCATATGATTAACGACTCTTGAAACATTGTATATGCATAATTTTTTGTTAATGATTAATCTTGATTGTTAATAAGTAGCTAGATGTATGCCTAGAAAACTTCTTGAGATGATTCAACAAAAGAACAATAAAACAAAAAATTAGGATTAATTTACAAACAAAAATTATGAAGGTGGATTCGACATGATTTGAGAAGAGGTAACTTTTGTGGGTGTCGTTTCCATCATCAGCTTTAGGACACATCTTGAGATGGATGGAAGCTTTGATGTACCTCCACCACACTCGATTACTTTCTTGACATTTTTTTTATCTCTCTCTAGAAAATTTTCATGTGAAAATGAAAATGTCTTAATTAATTAAGATAAATATCATTACTTTATTTAATTTGTTAGATTTTTGATTCCTTAGGTTGCTTCAGAAAGCTGATCATAATAATCAGTCCAAAATCCAAACCTTTATTTGGCGTCATTATGGAATGGTTAGGTTTTGATGTTCAAGTTACTTGCTTGCTTAAACAAATGAAAGTAAGTCGTTAATTGTCTAATTAAGTAGCAAATAAATGTGGTGATAGGGAAGATAACATTCCACACGTCATTATCAAATTATTTTAAAATCGTTGCAAATATGATTTAAGAAATATTGGTGAAAGAATGTTTAAGGAAAAAAATATTTCACTAGTAAAAAATGAAAATTACAACCTAGCTCATCAAGTACATATAATGGAAAAAACTTTTGTTTGGTTAGAGATATGATTTATAAACATAGAAACACTTCACATGAAGTTGACTGCCAAGAGACACGAATGGTACAAATGATACGTTTGGAGGGTCTTTGACACGTGTGGGGAGGTAAACACGAAACCCTACCTCTCTATATGAAAGCAAGAGAGGATAAACCGTCAAAGTAAC